CGGAAGCAGTAGCTCTAAGCAACACCAGGGCTAAAAGTGTGTGCCAGGCACTAGCAGACATTTTTGCCAGGGTAGGTTGGCCCTCCGACATCCTCACAGATGCAGGGACTAATTTCCTGGCAGGAACTATGAAAAACCTTTGGGAAGCTCATGGGGTAAATCACTTGGTTGCCACTCCTTACCATCATCAAACAAATGGCATGGTGGAGAAGTTTAATGGAACTTTGGGGGCCATGATACGTAAATTTGTAAATGAGCACTCCAATGATTGGGACCTAGTGTTGCAGCAGTTGCTCTTTGCCTACAGAGCTGTACCACATCCCAGTTTAGGGTTTTCCCCATTTGAACTTGTATATGGCCGTGAGGTTAAGGGGCCATTGCAGTTGGTGAAGCAGCAATGGGAGGGATTTACACCGTCTCCAGGAACTAACATTCTGGACTTCGTAACCAACCTACAAAACACCCTCCGAACCTCTTTAGCCCTTGCTAGAGAAAACTTACAGGATGCTCAAAAAGAGCAAAAAGCCTGGTATGATAAACATGCCAGAGAGCGTTCCTTCAAAGTAGGAGACCAGGTCATGGTCTTAAAGGCGCTCCAGGCCCATAAAATGGAAGCATCGTGGGAAGGGCCATTCATGGTCCAGGAGCGCCTGGGAGCTGTTAATTATCTCATAGCATTCCCCACCTCCAACCGGAAGCCTAAGGTGTACCATATTAATTCTTTAAAGCCCTTTTATTCCAGAGAATTAAAGGTTTGTCAGTTTACAGCCCAGGGAGGAGACGACGCTGAGTGGCCTGAAGGTGTTTACTACGAAGGGAAATGTGCTGGTGGTGTGGAAGAGGTGAACCTCTCCATGACCCTTGGGCGTATGCAGCGACAGCAGATCCAGGAGCTGTGCACTAGCTACGCGCCAACGTTCTCAGCCACCCCAGGCCTGACTGAACGGGCATACCACTCCATTGACACAGGTAATGCTCACCCAATTAGGGTCCAACCTTACCGGGTGTCTCCTCAAGCTAAAACTGCTATAGAACGGGAGATCCAGGATATGTTACAGATGGGTGTAATCCGCCCCTCTGAAAGTGCATGGGCATCTCCAGTGGTTCTAGTTTCCAAACCAGATGGGGAAATACGTTTTTGCGTGGACTACCGTAAGCTAAATGCTGTAACTCACCCAGACAACTATCCAATGCCACACACAGATGAACTATTAGAGAAACTGGGACGGGCCCAGTTCATCTCTACCTTGGACTTAACCAAGGGGTACTGGCAGGTACCGCTAGATGAATCTGCCAAGGAAAGGTCAGCCTTCATCACACATCTCGGGCTGTATGAATTTAATGTACTCCCTTTCGGGCTGCGAAATGCACCCGCCACTTTCCAAAGACTTGTAGGTGGTCTCCTAGCGGGATTAGGAGAATATGCAGTCGCCTACCTTGATGACGTGGCCATATTTTCGGATTCCTGGGCAGACCACCTGGAACATCTACAAAAAGTCCTTGAGCGCGTAAGGGAGGCAGGACTAACTGTTAAGGCTAAGAAGTGTCAAATAGGCCTAAACAGAGTGACTTACCTTGGACACCAGATGGGTCAAGGAACTATCAGCCCCCTACAGGCCAAAGTGGATGCTATCCAAAAGTGGCCTGTCCCAAAGTCAAAGAAACAGGTTCAATCCTTCTTAGGCTTGGCTGGTTATTACAGACGATCTGTACCGCACTACAGCCAAATCGCTGCCCCACTAACAGACCTAACCAAAAAGAAACAGCCAAATGCTGTTCAGTGGACCGGAAAGTGTCAGAAGGCCTTTAACAAGCTTAAAGCGACACTCATGTCTGACCCTGTACTAAGGGCCCCAGACTTTGACAAACCGTTCCTAGTAACCACAGATGCGTCCGAGCGTGGTGTGGGAGCAGTTTTAATGCAGAAAGGCCCTGATCAAGAATTCCACCCTGTAGTGTTTCTCAGCAAAAAACTGTCTGAGAGGGAAAGCAACTGGTCAGTCACTGAAAAAGAATGTTACGCCATTGTCTACGCTCTGGAAAAGCTACGCCCATATGTTTGGGGACGGCGTTTCCACCTGCAAACCGACCATGCTGCACTGAAGTGGCTTCACACCGTCAAGGAAACTAACAAAAAACTTCTTCGGTGGAGTTTAGCTCTCCAAGATTTTGATTTCCACATCCAACACATCTCAGGAGCTTCTAACAAAGTGGCTGATGCACTCTCCCGTGAAAGTTTCCCAGAATCAACTGGTTAAAATCGTCCTTGAGATGTGGAAAATATTGTTAGTCTTTATGTACTTGGTAGTATATTTAGAGATGCATGTGTCTTATTAACTCTGTTTTTCCTAGAGCTCCAGGAAGAAATCCCAGCCAGTGTTTCACCCTAGCTGAGATTTGGGGGGCGTGTCATAAATATAAAGGGAAGGGTAAACCCCTTTGAAATCCCTCCTGGCCAGGGAAAGCTCCTCTCACCTGTAAAGGGTTAAGAAGCTAAAGGTAACCTCGCTGGCACCTGACCAAAATGACCAATGAGGAGACAAGATACTTTCAAAAGCTGGGAGGAGGGAGAGAAACAAAGGGTCTGTGTCTGTCTGTATGCTGGTCTTTGCCAGGGACAGAACAGGAATGGAGTCTTAGAACTTTTAGTAAGTAATCTAGCTAGGTATGTGTTAGATTATGATTTCTTTAAATGGCTGAGAAAAGAATTGTGCTGAATAGAATAACTATTTCTGTCTGTGCATCTTTTTTGTAACTTAAGGTTTTGCCTAGAGGGGTTCTCTATGTTTTTGAATCTAATTACCCTGTAAGATATCTACCATCCTGATTTTACAGGGGGGATTTCTTTATTTCTATTTACTTCTATTTTTTATTAAAAGTCTTCTTGTAAAAACTGAATGCTTTTTCATTGTTCTCAGATCCAAGGGTTTGGGTCTGTAGTCACCTAGGCAAATTGGTGAGGCTTTTTACCAAACCTTGTCCAGGAAGTGGGGTTCAAGGTTTTGGGAAGTATTTTGGGGGGAAAGACGCGTCCAAACAGCTCTTCCCCAGTAACCAGTATTAGTTTGGTGGTGGTAGCGGCCATTCCAAGGATAACGGGTGTAATATTTTGTACCTTGGGGAAGTTTTGACCTAAGCTGGTAAAGATAAGCTTAGGAGGTTTTTCATGCAGGTCCCCACATCTGTACCCTAGAGTTCAGAGTGGAGGAAGGAGGAACCTTGACACTGTATGTGAAGTAAAGATTGTCATTAATCATAAATCCAGGTAAATTCTTATTAGAGAAATCTAGTTATACGTCTGTATGTTTTGTTGCATGCACATATTGTTGGCAGTACAAACCATCCATTTCTAACTGGCATGCGTAATATGTTAAAACTAATTCTGAAGCATTAGTGACATTACAGTTCACTACTATGGAAAGAGTGCTCTTTTGCATAATTATATAAATCACAGAACAGGAGGAGGTTTTAGAAGGAGAAAGTTTCTACCAGATATAATGTCATACGTATCTATCATATGTATATCATGTTAAAAAAAAGAACAACCCAGCTTCAGTGTGTACGTAAACTGAAGCCTGGTTGTTGTCACTGTTCATGACAACGTTTGTTGGAAGGGTACGGGACAAGGAACTGCCCTGACAGGACACCTACTTTTCCACGCTAATGACAGCTGTGTGTATGTTAAGGCCACCACTGTGCAAAACATACATTTTAATCTCACCACTTCTGCAGGCAATAATATTATTTATTGGCCTGCAAATAAAATTCTACAATTAGTCCGGTATACTCTCCCCTTGCAAGTGCTAAAAAAAAATAAACTGTCTCTAATTTGTTGCAACCAGCCTAAGAGAGAAGACTCTGTTTTCTTTCACAAAGCAAAGAGTGAGTTGAGGAACTGATTTTGGTTGCTTGCTTAAGTATGGACAATAAAAGCCTGCCTAAAAAGAAGACTGCAGGGGTAGTAGTATGTCCTTGAAAGCTGGGGAGAAGCCCTGCCTTTTGACACTGGCTAATAGGGGAGAATTGGGCTCTGAATGACAACTTCCATAAGGCAGTGCGCTGATAGGGCAATGCAGTAAAGCATTTCAGGTCAGTTCAACAAAACAAAATATTCCAATATCATAAACTGACCCAAAACAAATTTTTTTTTTATTTTTCCTGATGGAAAATTTTTGCAAAAAGCAAAAATTTACTGTAGAAATGTACAAAAATCAGTACTACAAAACGACAGATTTCCTATTTTAACAGTCTAGTTTTAAGTGTAATAAAAAAATTAAGCCAATGAAGTTAGTCAGTTTCACGAATGAAATGTTGCCCAATCTTACATTATGCAAGTATCTGAAGCCTGCTAATAAAGCTGTTTCTTGATTTTTTTTTCACGAGCAGTAATTTGACTAAAAAGCTGAAGTGTGCCTGAGACATATGATACTCAGAGAGAGGGTCTTGCTATCACTAAAGTCTTCTAGTCTTGAAAAAGTGGATTCTTAAAATCATTGCTGAGAACGAGGATTTGGGAGATATAGGTAATTCAGAAGTGCATTAGATGCTCCAGTAGCACAGCAAAGTGTACACTGTTATACTGCCCTCACTGTTAAGACTGTATATTATGCCAAAAGCAAAATTTAACCTAAGCTCCAAACTAAGAACTAGTCTTTCAAGTCAACACATCTATCTTGAAGCTCCACAGTCCTGACTTCTGTTCTCTGTTTTATTCAGAAATTACATTTTGACAGCTGATAATATTCTAATTGCATTAAGATTTTCTAAGGTCTTTGCATCCATTTCTGCTAGAAAGCTTTCTGAGATTTCCTATACCATTTGATAAAGAACAATAATGTATGTAAATTAAAGAACTGTACTGCTTAATTAAATTTTATTTCTGAAAGCCTGATGTAGATGATTAATATATTTATAAAGAAGGAAGGAGGACAGGGAAACCATTTGGAAAAAAAATGCAGAATTAATGAGTGTGTTGATTACACTATTTATTTTTTCTCTAGCCTGAGGTTCTGGAACAAATACAAAACCTAAAGGAATTGTGGATGGACAATAATTCACTTCAGATACTGCCTGGGGTATGGACATTTATATTATGTAATTATTTTCTTGTAAGATATAATGAATAATTGTGTGTGTGTGTGTGTGTGTGTACACAGAGGAATTATTTTCATTTCATAATAGATGGAGATCTCCATCTTAGAATGTGGTGTGAAATAAAACAAGACATTTTAAACTTTGCATTATTGCACAATGATATTGAAATGAGGAAATATTGCTCTATAGTAGCATTGCATAATTCTGTTGAATCTTGTTTTAATATGTGGAAATGTCCACTTTATTTGTTTTTTTGGTCATACATTTGTAAATTGTCATTTTCTTAAACTGTATGGGTTTTTGAATGCTAGGGTAGTTATTGTGTTTTCCTGTCAGATGGAAGGAAAATGGATGTTGATACATCTGGGCTTAGTTAGGCTGAAATTAACTTCTATGACAGGTGGGCTACGGAAGCTTGGCGAGCATTGTGGGTTGCACTACCCCAGAGGCTGTTTGTTCGGGTGAAAATCCCCTCTCTTTAGTTACTACTGGAATACCTTAGTAGGCCTTCCTTGCTGCTCCTTCTGAAGAAAAAAACCTCTTATTCAACCAAGCTCAATTGACATATTTAGTGGGCAGACACTTGTTAATGGTCTCATAGGAAATTACTGAGTATGTTCAGAGAGTCCTTCATACATCCTGATGCAGGAGAAGGCATATCCATGGCTTACGTGTACAACCTGAAGCCTGAATCTCCTCATGATTCACTCTGCGCTTTGTTGTTGTGGAACAAAGACACTATATAGTGTAACATCTAGAGAAACAAATCCTGGATGCGCATTTCTAATTCAAACAATATACCCATTAAACCAAATTCTGGCCCTATCTGTTTGTGCTCAGTCAAAAACATCCTCACCGCACTAATCTACTCAGTGCCTGCAGATACCTCAGTCTCTTCTCAGAGAATGTCTTTCAGATGCAATCAGATGGTCTTTATATGGCCACCCCTTACACCTCCCCAAGAGTTAAGTCTGTAAAATCAGCCTCTCCACTCCAGCTGGGGCATGATGAATGCATGTGTTGCAGATGTTCCCGTGAGAGGAGTGGAGTTTCATTCCCAATTGTTTCATCCAGGGATATTGAATGGTATGTGCAGGAAAGAGAATTTCAGCTGACAGCTCTAAAATGGAACTGAAAACAGGAATGGAAACAGGGACTTTGAGACTGTTTCCTCCTCTGTACCTCAGGCCAATCCATCTCTCTCATACTACAACAGCTCTGAGAGATAAATGTTACTGAAGGCTCTAGAAACTTGAATGAGTCTGTTGTGGGGGCTGTGTGAGAGAAAATGAGGAGTGATGATGGTGTTCCAGAGATGGGAAGCTACCCTCTGCCCCCCCTGCTTTACTAGGCCCAACAATCCTAGGAACAGCTAGCCCGTTGCAAAGCTGTGTTAGTTAGCAATAAGAATTTCCTGCTTGGACAGGAAACACTGGATGTGGTTTATTTAGGCCGCAACTTTATTCTTAAATGTCTGTGGGTATCTGGCAGATAAAAGTGTACAGTGCAGGTAATTCTATAATTATTTCACTATATCCCCAGGTGGCTTCTATCAGCCCTCCCCCTTACCCAGGCAACCTGCTGCTGGGACCTCACCCCCCCCACACTTTGTATGAAGGTTAAGGGAGGGCTATCAAGGAGGGGGGCTTTAGCTCTCCGAGTCCACCTGTTTCTGCTCTTTCAAAGAATATCTCTTTAAATCCTTTACTAATCCATTTTATTTGATCACTGTATTCCTTCATTACAGAGTATGTGCACTGCCCCGTGTTTATACAATGAGTTGTGACATCATAGCCTAATTCCCCTTTCATGTTTGCCCCAGCTAAGTTCCCCTGAACCTGTGTGGGGAAGGCGAAAAAAACTCTGCTTCACCTTGGCCACTCAGGTGAGAGAAAAATTCCTTCCCAGTCCTCTGAGAAAGGAGCGACTAGTGCAGTGCCCACAGCGGATCCTGACAAAACCCAGTATTTAACCACTTTCACGGGAGGAAGGGTGGGTGCTGCTCCAGATGAAAGATGGCTTTTCCTAACCAGGTATGGACCTATATAGTCTCCCCTCTCTTCTGGTCACCTGGGGGTTGGGTCAGCGTCCCTACACTAACCTGGTCTGTAGCTCTCTAGCCCTTAAAGGGGCACACACTTTTTCCAACAAGCAAGACAACAGCCACCACTGCTTAATGTACAGGGAGGTCATTTCTGCTAACAGGACTCTACTAGGAAGCTAATTAACCTTACTGTTTAGACTAGGTTCTAAGTCAAAACCAAATTGGCAGCCATAAGATCAAATACACTCTGTATACATTTTTAGAAACATTCAGTAGAAACCTACCAGTTTATCTCGAGATAAATTATGTCCAAACTTGCTGAGCTATTCTTCTATTTTTACCAAACAATGCATTTCACATACTTAGTGTCAAGGTTCCTCCCCCACTCTGAACTCTAGGGTACAGATGTGGGGACCTGCATGAAAAACCTCCTAAGCTTATCTTTACCAGCTTAGGTCAAAACTTCCCCAAGGTACAAAATATTCCACCCGTCGTCCTTGGACTGGCCGCTACCACCACCAAACTAATACTGGTTACTGGGGAAGAGCTGTTTGGACGCGTCTTTCCCCCCAAAATACTTCCCAAAACCTTGCACCCCACTTCCTGGACAAGGTTTGGTAAAAAGCCTCACCAATTTGCCTAGGTGACTACAGACCCAGACCCTTGGATCTTAAGAACAATGAACAATCCTCCCAACACTTGCACCCCCCCTTTCCTGGGAAATGTTGGATAAAAAGCCTCACCAATTTGCATAGGTGACCACAGACCCAAACCCTTGGATCTGAGAACAATGAAAAAGCATTCAGTTTCTTACAAGAAGACTTTTAATAAAAATAGAAGTAAATAGAAATAAAGAAATCCCCCCTGTAAAATCAGGATGGTAGATATCTTACAGGGTAATTAGATTCAAAAACATAGAGAACCCCTCTAGGCAAAACCTTAAGTTACAAAAAAGATACACAGACAGAAATAGTTATTCTATTCAGCACAATTCTTTTCTCAGCCATTTAAAGAAATCATAATCTAACACATACCTAGCTAGATTACTTACTAAAAGTTCTAAGATTCCATTCCTGGTCTATCCCCGGCAAAGACCCAGCATACAGACAGACACAGACCCTTTGTTTCTCTCCCTCCTCCCAGCTTTTGAAAGTATCTTGTCTCCTCATTGGTCATTTTGGTCAGGTGCCAGCGAGGTTACCTTTAGCTTCTTAACCCTTTACAGGTGAGAGGAACTTTCCCCTGGCCAGGAGGGATTTCAAAGGGGTTTACCCTTCCCTTTATATTTATGACACTTAGGAATGTGAGAATTGCCATACCAGATTAGACCAATGGCCTACGTAGTCCTTATCCTGTTTCTGACAGTGGCCAGTACTGGGTGTTTCAGAGTAAAATGTAAAATCCCTATTAATGAACAACTATTCAAGAAGATGCAGTCATAGTTCAGAGCTCTCTGCACCTTTTCCTTGGTCTTTCCAAGTGCTCCTCCTTCAGCAATCAACCTTTTACCTATGCCTGGGAGGAATCCCGCAGTTTTCCCACTCTTAGACCACGGCCAGGACTACTGTACCCTGTGTGCCACCTGTAATTCCTCAGCAAGCCTGACTGCATCTGGTACCTGAAAGTCTTCCCTAAAGGAGCTGTGACCCATGGTGAATAGAGTGACCCAAAACTATTGTTTAATCTCAATAGTAGGGACAAAGCATAACAAGAGAGAAGGATTGTTTTTTAACACAATAAAAGATTTAAACACATCTCTGTCTCACTTTTAGGCTTATGCAGGCATAGCTAACCTCAAGCATAGCTAATCACAGACACCCCTACCTCTAAGGAGTGGGCTTCAGACTGCTCCCCAGCAGTTTCTGCCTCACTCTTTGCCTGTTCTTCAGGGGCTGCCCCTTTATGTACCCCAGAGATTTGTTTCACATTTTCCCTCCTGGATTCCCCCTCCTGTAGCTCAGCATGGTCCGAGGTAAAACTTAAAAAATGAGTGACACATACATTCTCCTTTCTTCTTATGTGGCATCTCCGTTACTGGAGGTTTGCAACCATAGTAGACATTCTGTACAATCGTCTGCTAATCTCTTTATGGACAAATAATCCTTTTGATCCACCTAGGATTCCACATTGTCCACCCAAGATCTTCTTTTTCTTCTTCAAGTTCTTGCTCATGTCGATTCCATTCTAGGTGTGCATGTGCCCACATGCGGGGCTGTCGGAGATTTTTGCCTTAGTGGTATCCATAGGGCCGGCTGTGGCGCCCCCTTGAGTGCTGCGCTCATGCATCGGTATATTAGGCACCACCGGCCCTATGCCCTCTCAGTTCCTTCTTACTGCCCATTGTAGTTAGTTGGAGCTCTTTTCTGTGCGTATCAAGGGCTAGCAGTTTCGTCTCTTCTGACTTCGAGCCTTAGGGCCTCGTAAATAGTTGTTTATAGTAGTTAGTGTTAAGTAGATGTTAAGTGTGGTTAGGAGTTAGAAGTTAAAGTCCCAGAAGAGACTGCTCCAGGCGGGGCATGCCCCGGTCTCTGAGATTTAAGCCCTGCATAGACTGTAACAGGCCTATGCCTGTAAGTGACCCTCACAGCAGCTGCCTCAAGTGCTTGGGGGAAATCACATGTGAAGGACAAGTGTTGTGTTTGTAAAAATTTCAGACCCAGGACTCAGAAAGAGCGGGATATTCGTTTGCGGGCTCTCCTCATGGAGGCTGCCATTCGTCCAGCTTCTGAGCCATTCCACCAAGACTTGCCTAGTATGTTGGCCTTGGTGCACAGCACCCCTGTCACTGGTGCCCAGAAGGAAAACGAAGAAGCACTGCTTCCCGGCACCGAACAAGAAAGGCCATGGGGCATCAGGCAAAAGACGTAGTTCAGGCCTCCCTGCCACTCTGGAGGCACATGGACATGCCTCCACGGTTGGGGCCCTTAGCTGCTTAAA